TCCAGCAGCATCAACTGCCTTTTGGACATCTCAAACTGGACGTCTCGTAGGCATCTCAAACTGGACGTCTCGTAGGCATCTCAAACTGGACGTCTCGTAGGCATCTCAAACTCAATATGTCCAACACAGAAAACCATTATCTTTCCCCCCTCCCAACCTTCCCATTATTGTCAAAGGTACCATCATTCTCCAAGTCATGCAGGCTGACTTCATTTCCATCTTTGTCTCCTAACTCTTCCTCATCCCACATGACCAAGCTGTTGTGACATCTTAACCTTTCTACCTTTGCCACATCTCTCCAATACACCCCCTTCTCTCCACTGACATTGCTACCACCCTGGTACGGGCCCTTATCATCTTATGCCTGGATTACTGCAATAATCATTGCTTGTGGGACTTCCTGCCTCAAGGCTCTCCCCGCTCCAATCCATCCTCCAATCCAAAGTGATTTTCCTAACACAGAGATCTGTCCACATCACTCCCCTATTCAATAAACTCTCATAGCCCAATCTAACATGAAGAACACTCTACCCAACATAAAAGTGGCTAACGTTTGACTCAGCAATCACACCACAAGAACTTCACCCTCAGAAGATCAAAGGCAGTGGGAAGGTTCCATTTATACCAAAATGCTTATAACAGCATTTTTTCCCAGTGGTCAACAACTAGAAACAAAGTGAGCACCATTGATTACAGAATGGCTGAACAAATTATGGTCTATGAATTTATTGTCAGTTGTTTCAGTCGTGTCCAACTCTATGACTCTGTTTGGGGTTTTCTTGGCAGAGATACTAGAATGGTTTGGTAGTTCCTTCTCCAGCTCATTATATAGATGAGGAAACTGAGGCAAAGAGGGTGAAGTGACTTGCCCAGGGTCACATAGCTAGGAAGAGTCTGAGGCTGGATTTGAACACAGAAAGATGACTCTTCCTGACTCCAGCCCCAGTCCACTGTGCCACCTAGCTGCCCAGGTCCAAGGACAGCACAGAATATTATGCCATAAGAAAAAACAAACTTGAAGCATTCAAGAGAAGCATAGAATGACTCATATGAACTGACACATACCAAGAGAACAGGATATTTACAATGACTACAATTCTAAGAAAAACAGAACTAAAAGCCCTCTGAATACAATCAATGAAATGGCCTATGTCGATTCCAAAAGGCAAATGATAAAATATATGTCCTCCTCAATCAATCAGCAAGCAGTTATAAAGCACCTACTAAGTGCTACACTGTCCTCAGGGGGTACAAAGACAAAAATGAAACAGTCCCTATCCTTAAGAATCATCCTATGAAGTGAGATAATCAATCATTAAGCACTAATAAGGTTGCAACCACTATGCTTGGGATGTGATGGCAGGTGTGAAGCAATCCCTACCCTCAAGGAGATAACACACACATATGAGAATATACAAAATACACATATAAAGAATAGATTTGGAATAATTACAAGGCTATGAAAGGGGAAGATTGACAACTAAGAAAATCAGGGAAGGCTCATGTAGAAGGTGGCTTTGAGGGAAACTAGGAAAGAAATAGACAAGTCACAGGATCATAGAAGGGACCCTAGAGATCAATGGGTGTAGCCCCTTTCATTTTACAGATGAAGAAACTAAGGACTAGAGAAGTGAAATGACTTGCCCAGGACCACACAGCTGGTAAATTTCTAAGTAAATATGGTTCATATGCTATTAGCGAGGGACTTATTAGAGTAAGGGTACTGAGAGGTGAAGGCAATGTTTCATTTAAAAGGCATCGATGTACATTTTTTTTTAAAAAGAGAGAGAACATAAGAAAGTTAATGCCATACCCTCTTGGGAAAGAAGAAAGGATCTAAGTCAAACCATAACTAGTAATTCTAGCACCCGGGGAAACTACCACAAATTGTGCCTTTCAGGAAAGTAACAGGGAAGGCACTTTAAAATCAACTTTTTAAAACAAAATCACTTGGGAGGGGAAAGACCTCAAACCTCAGGATATAAGGCCATGAGGTAAAGAAGTGGGGTGGGAAAAGGGGGAGTAAAGACAGCCCATTCCCTTCACCAGACACCAAGGCCGCTGCTGGAGAGGCCACCCCTGGGGAAGAGGGTATGGCTGGGCAGAGGGATGGGGCCACTGGAGGGAAGATTCACTACTTGATAACTTCCTAGTTCCTACCCATCATTCTTGCTTATTTGGATGCTAAGCGCTGTTGTTTCTATCTGATAAAGAACAGTGCCTATCAGAACCCTCGAAATTTTGGATCCACCCAAAAGCCTCTTATGGATCTAAGAAGCACCGGAAAAAAAGAGAAATTTGACCTAAAAAATTACGGGAGTTTCTCTACCTCTGTTGTCAAGAGAAGTGAATCAAGGCAGGGAAGTTCCCTCCTCACACAGCATGCCAGAACTGTGTTTAAAATTCACAGGTTCAGTGCCTAACAACTGTGTCCTGATACCCTGAGGCGCTCAATCATTTAATCAATGGACAAGAATTGTTTAAATACCTGCTAAGTACCAAGCATTGTGTTAGGGCACTGGGGGAACCTAAGGATTGTGAACTCAGATATCTGAGAGAAAATACTGAGAAAGGAAGCAAGGGAAGGGAAGAGGATAAGGAGCTCATATCTTTGGGTTGGTCATTAAAAGCCTGTTCCCTCAGAAGACAGCTCGAAGGTGGACACGAGGAGCGGAGCTTCCCAGAGAGCTCTCCTCAACATTAGGACCACAGTGCATGAACAGATGGGATCATTGTTCCCTAAATGCTAAAGCAACATACTCCACCTTCTTTTGCAGGGGAAGACACTGAGGCTTAACAAAACTAAGTAACTTGCCCAGTACATAAGCACACGTGGCTATAGAACTTTAAATTCATTATATTATGGAGGCTTCATAGCAACCCTGTGGCATCATCATGATATAGGTAGGTAGATAGATAGATAGATAGATAGATAGATAGATAGATAGATAGATAGATGAATAAGATAAGGTAAGGTAAGATACGATAACATAGAGAGGTGCACATACATATGTATGTGTATGTATATGTATACATGTATGTATTTATATGGAAACCAAGGCTCAGCAAGGTCATGAGACAGGGCTGAGTCTTTGATTTCTTTGCTATGGGGAGCTCCCATTGAGGAAGCTCTCTCTACAACTTATGGTCTTATACGGTTACGTAGGGGGTATTGATAGGTTAAGTGACTTGCCCAGGGTCGCACAGCTCTGGGGTCAGAATCTGGGGTCAGAACTGAACCCCAGCCTTCCTGATTCCAAAGCTGGCTATCTATCTACTCTGCCATGCCTCCTCTATCAGATACAGAGAGGTCATAGGATCAAGGGAGACTGTGTTACCCAACTCCCCTCACTTGGCAGATGAGGAAACCAAGATAAGAGAGGGGAGCATGTGGTCACGTGGCTAACAAGTAGACAAGTTGTCTGGCTCCAGATCAAGTCTTTTCTCCAATACCCCAAAATGGTTGTCATGGGCTAACCTATGTAGGCTCCCATCAGCCCATAGTAAATTTATGTAAAAACATACCATGGCAATATAATGTAATCTGTAATATATCATATGATACAGTATATGACATGATAACATACCATTAATGTGGTAGTATATCATGTGATATAATCATATATTATGTTAATAAAATCACATATTTTGTTCAGTTGTATCTGACTCCTCGTGACCACATTTGGGGTTTTCTTGGCAAAGATACAGGACTGGCTTGCCTTTCCTTCTCCAGCTCACTTTACAGAGGAGGAAACTGAGGTAAAAAGGGTTAAATGACTTGTCCAGGGTCACACATCTAGTAAATGTCTGAGGACAGATTTGAACACATGAAGATGAGTCTTCCTGACTCTAGCCAGTGCACTATCCCCTGTGCTAATTTTATATTCATATAATAATAACTTGTATTTATATAGCACTTACTATGTGTCAGGCCCTGTGCTAAATGCTTTATAAATATTATTAATCCTCACAAAACCCTGTGGCGTAGTGGCTATCGTTATCCCTTTTTTTTACAGTTGAGGAAACTAAAGCAAACAGAGGTTAAGTGGCTTGCCCAAGGTCATACAGCCAGGCATTGTCTGATGCTTCATTTGAATTCAGGTCTTTGTAAGCTCCCTAAATTGCCTCAGTCATAGATTCAGAGCTGAAATGGACCTCAGAGTTCATCTAAATCCAACCACCTCATTTTACAAATGAAGAAACAAGACCAGAGAAAGGGAAGCTATTTGGCCGAGGTCATAAAGGGGAATTGAACAGCATAGCCAGGATTTGAACCTGCATCCTTTGCCTTCAGATTCTAGGCTCTGAGTCCTACCCACGATTATCTTTGCTTCTTGAGGGGGACGCTGCCAGCCTCCCCTGTCGACAGCAGCAAGACCTGTTCCATGTTCCATTAATTAAGGTAAGCCAATCGACCAAAGAGAAATTGTGGGCTATGGCTGAGCTAGAAGTGTATAATCAACACAAAACTTTCGGTTTCTCGATTACTATTACTCACCTTTGGACACCAGCGCAAGGGAAGTTAAAAAGCCCCAGGAAGACCAGCCAGATTTGAACTGTTCAAAATAGTACTGAAACCACCATGAGGCTCAAGGTTGACATCATGCATGTGAATGTGCGTGAAGTCTGATTTACATACACACACACATGAGCTTAAAGGCAGTACGTGAAAACAGCGGAGGAATATTCAGCGAGGAAAAACATGCGGAGCAAACGGGCCCCTAGGTCACAAGATTTCATATGACAGGACACAAGAGAAAGTTCTGTGCACAAAGCGAGCCCCCAGTCACCGGATCTGAAGCGAAGAGCAAAGCACAAAACAGAGGCAATAGAGGCAGGCTCAGACACGAAGCAGCAGGACAGCAGAGAAAGATGAGAGAGAGGCTGGTGGTCCCAACATTCCCCAATCAATCTGGGCATTAACAACCACGGATTTCTGGGGCTTTCAGGGACCAGCCTTCAGAAGTTTGGAGGGTTGGGCGATAAAGATTGTCTCTCAC